ATTTTAAGTTGTTAAGTCCTGGCGTTTTGACAGACTCTGAAAACAGTATTTCGAGAAAAACGATAAGATTTCTATTTACTAAGCAGCTCAGAAGAAATAGCTCGGGTCGAAGTTTTCTAGTCTTTAGTTGTTAGTTTAAAAATTGTGCAGAAGACTTAAGGTTTATTCTTTATTGGTAGACATTTTGATATATGAGTATGTTTTCTTGATAAAGTTTCGTTGGTATAGTCTTTAAATTATGAGTCTTCGAATCGCCACTTCTTTGCTCACCATGCGTAACCTCTGCTCTCTAGCCCAAGAAATTACCTATGAAAGTAGAAATAAAGTTGTGTAGGTTAATTCAATTAAGAGAGAGTAATTGATCACTTAGGGAGCACAGTGGCCCTTATACAGGCTTAAGAGCGGCCGATTGCGGTTTGGCGCAATCAACCAACCAATTGATCACTTATTCCTGCTGTCCGTTCTATTCGCTACTCTTTAAGGTCACTAAATTCATTGGTCACTTAATTATTTTTTTTCATTCGACATCATTATTATTGCTATAAACCAATACGTCACTAAATATTCACATAAATATAAATTATAAAAGTTCCAACATATTTTTACTCATTCGCGAGTTTTCTTATTTTTTAGTATTTATTAAATACTATAACTGTTATAGTTAATAAATATGCATATACACGTAGACATCTTGTAGCGTCAAAAACGTGCAGAGAGCGCTTTCTTTTTGCCCCACTTCAAACATACGATTGACTTTTTTTTATAAAATGAAACTAAAATCAAGAAATCATAAAAACCGTTAAGACGAGAAGCAAAAACATAAACCAACATGTGCCGAAAAAACAATTACCAACTACTTTCTTCAACACATTTTTTTGGTTTATGTTAAACTTTTCTCGTGTATAAAGTCATAATAAATTCCGGTCCAAATTTTAATTTTCATCACGCTCATAACGAAAGATATATGAGTGCGTAAGAGGCAGCAAAAACTTGAAAAAAACAAACAACAACTGTTAAACAATGAGAGCTATAATGGTAATAACAGTTAATGTGATAACCGGCAGGGTGTGGGCGGCGTGCTAAGCGGTACAGTGTGTAACCAAAAATTAAACAAAAACAAACCCAAACTTTGCCACGCCATCCGCCCGCCGGTTATTTATTTTCCTCACTACTTTTTGTTGTGACGATGCGCGTCGCGGTGTCAGTGCCGCGCGGGTGGCGCTTTACTCTGTTCCGCTGGCGCGGCGTATTTTGGCAGCGGCGCATGCTATGCAACTCTATTTTTGTGTCTGAGATGTTGTTGTTGGCGCATACAAACATACATCCGCATTTGCTGGCATCCGCTCTTGCAACAGTGGTCGCGGCGGCGCAATGCGGTCAAGTTGTTTCGGTTTACTTCTTTTCGCTGGCTTTTGTCGTAATTTTGAATGAATGCATATGAAAGCATGCATGTAATACATGCGCACACACAACCATACTAATACTGTAAGCTTTAGGCTATAACCGCTGCGCCTGTGCGTCAAGTGAAGATCAACTTGAGGCCAAACGCGGTATGTCAGCGTGCGACAGCTAGATAAAACGTCTAATGTGTAATTATGTATGCATGCACTAGTATAAATGTATGTGCGCATGCGCAAGTATTGAGTCAAAGGTTTAGGTGACGCTTTTGACGCAAAACTTTCCAATTTTTACAATTTCTTTGTTGCTTCGGCGTGTTGTTGTTGCTCTCTGCTGCGACTGTTATTTATTGCAATAGTTACTTTTATTTTTTTGTTTGCTTACTTTTCTTTTTGATTCATTGGGTTTTGATTTGGAGACTCGGCGGTTGTGTGCAGACGCTTTCATTGTGCGTTGCGCGTTCCTTAAATGTTGCCAATGTTTGTGCTCTATCAATGGTGGTGTTACAACGCCTACTGCTATTGTGTCGATTGTTGGTGTCGTTGTCGCAAAATATTGCAGGTTGTTGTTGGTGTTGTTGTTTTCATAAAATAAATATAAATTTATTTTTAAATTCACGTTATTTCTATTACTGATTAACGTTATATAAAATTTAATTCCTGTGATTTAGTGAATAAAGCCTTCTTCAAGTCAGTGGCACCCCTGTCGCGTTTTTTGAGCCTAGAAATGCTTGATATGTGAACTTTTTAGATCGACGTGTTTATATCATTTGATCAACTTTAACCGAGAATCAATCAAAAAATGTTTTCTAGATTGGTACAACTTTTTTTTTATGTACATGTGTAGTTTGATCTCCATGTGTCATTTAGTGTGTGAGTTGACAACTACTTGTTTACGACGCAAAAGGTTTGTCTGGCAATTTTTACCATGAGAAAAAAATTTACCACGAACTTGCTCGAAATTTTATGTTTCCAATAGAATCGCGTTTATGAAAACCTTGAAAATATTGCAGTCTTTTGGGCAGTCGACTTTGTCACAAACACAAGTATTTGAGAGGCATACAGCATTCATTAAAGGTTAAGAAGTCAGAAAGATGAACATTTGTTTCATGCGAGTCTACCATCCACCTCTGCGATAAAATCGAAAAAGTCAAAGAAAAAGTGCTTGAAATTCATGGTGTTGGCCATAAAGATATAGCAGAGGATCTCAACATCTCTTATAGATCGACTCAAACAATTTAGTTCACGTTTTAGGTATGAAGCGTGTGAAAGTTAGTCTCATATCAAAAGATCTAAATCTTTTGCAAAAACGACGTCGAGTAAAGGTCGTCAAAGAAATGCTTACCAATGTACCTGAGGACCCTATCCACTTCAAACGCATCATTACTGGTGACAAGACGTGGTTTTATGAATTCGATGTCGAAACTGTCCAACAATTCAGCGGATTCAAAAAGCCGGAGTCGAAAAACACAAAATTCAGTGAAAGCGAAGACCACTTCAGCTGAGGCTTATAACAACTATTGGAATAAACGTCAACATGTTTAAATTGCCTCAAATAGAACCTATTTGGAATGCATTGTATTAAAAGATGTAAAAATTATGTTTGCTTAGTTCTGGGTAAAATTTTGGTCATCTGATCAAAGCATAATAGCTTTTCTTGGTCTTCTTTCTGATTGGCATCCGCATTTTTAGGTATTCCATTTTTTCTATATACGGCACCCTGAATAATTTTGATCATAAACGCAATGTCTAGTGAAGCCCTTAATCCTTATTTGTCGAAAGTATGTCTATTGCAGTCATTAATTTTCACTCTCACAAGTATTTGTGCTGATTATTAAGGTCCGGGGTTTTGCACTTGCGTAATGTCGTCAATTGGTGGCCGATTTTTATAAAATCTATCTGTCACTCCATTTATGGAAATTAAAAGTAAAGCTCTCTCTAGTGTACATACATATGTAAATTTTAGAAAATTCAGAGGCGGTTTTCCAATAATTTGCGACCAATAGCCGCTCGACTGAGATACATGCAAGTTTCCATAAGCCGGTTGAGAACTTAACGGTAGATATTATTGGCGAATGAAATTAAAAAATTTATTGCATAAAAATTGAGAAGCCTCAACAGGAGCATAAAACGAAGCGAGAAAGTCAAGAAAAAAAAAACACTCAAAAACGATTGACGTTGAAGTGTACGCAGTGATTGATGGCAAGTTTGCGACAAATCACGAACCGGCTCGTCCAACAAACTGACTGTAAAATTTCCATACTTGTGTATGTAAATATATTTGTATAGTACGAGTATGTATATTTTACAGCACCTCTTTATGTAATATGGTTGATACAATTACTAAGTAGGGTATGAAGTTGAAGTTGATTTTTCCTCGCATTTCTTTAAGCTCGAATTACTTTATTTCATGTTTTGAGTGCTTTCTTCAACAAATTTCTTTTATTTCATTTCATTTCGCTTATTTGTGTATTTATAAATTTTTATTGCTATTGTTGTTGTTGTTTTTTTTAACAAACTATTCACTAGTTAGCTTAGCGTGCGATTGGCATAATTGTTTTCGCCGTTGCTGTTGTTGTTTGTTGTTGTTGCTGTCGCTGCTGCTTTTCCTTCACCGCTTATTTGTTTCATGTTGTTGCGCTTGTTTTATGTACTCGTACATACATATGTATGTATGCGAGTACAAAAAATCAGTTGACCTCCGTTGACCTCGTTTTGAATATTTGCCTCGCGCTATTTGTTGTGGCTCCAATACTTAGCAAGTACATGCACGCCAGTGTTGTTGCTGTCGTTGTTGTAACTCTAGCTGTTTTGTTGACGTTCGCTGTTGTTGTTGTTGCACCCAGTGTTGCTATTTGGCGCTGTTAATTCTCAACTATTTTTTATGATTTTTATTTTTTGCTCCAACTTTTCGCTCATTTTATCGCAAACTCGTAATGCACGTGTGTGTGGTTTCGTATGTGTGTGTGTAAATAGTTTGTGTGTACAAGCAATTGCTCTGCTTTTCGCTCGTTTACGCTTTCCTCTGTTGATACTTATTTCATTGTTTGTGCACCCATTGCTTGTTGTTCGTCAATGTTTTACGAAAAAAAAACTTTTTTTATTTAATTTGGCGTCACTATGCTCCGCTTTCAATTTAATTTCAATTTTAATTTGATTTACATTTTGCTTGCTGGTGAAATTATTTCATGTTGATTCGTTGCCGGGTTTCAATGCAATTCCACAACTTTTATTTGTTTCACTAATGAATATTTTTATGGGAAATAATTATTTTATAGGAAAAAATTTCTGAATCGATATATTATATGTAAAGATTGAGTATTATCGATCATTTTTTAAAAATACACAACCTCTGATCAAATATGACCCGGATTGACAAAAAAATTAAATTTTCACGTACATATGCATTTTCATACATATTTATTATCGCTGGGATGGCTTCCAGTTTTATCGAATGACTTTTAATGGGTTAAGGGGGTATTTTAATCTAGCAATAAAATATAATAAATTTTTTTTTTTAAAGTTTAACTATTCAAGAGTATGTCTACAAAAGGATTTTTAAAAATTCAAATTATTTTCAGAGATATAGGTATTTTACCGCTCCGGCTCGACATCCAAACTGGTTCGACCGGATCTGAAACATTAAACGTGATTTTCTCGAAACTGACATTTTCAAACGACACTCACGATTTTTCACTGGACTCATTTACCATTTATAACATTTTTAGAGAGATTTATGGACTTGTCTATGTCTGCAACTATACATATCCCCAACAGCCAAAAGAGTAAACGTCGCCCAACAGAAGCAAACGTCGGATACCCTATAAAATATATACATAAATGATCAGTATTCCTAATTAAACCCACGTTTAGTTATTAGTAATGATGCATCTCATCCATAAGAGATGTCGATATCCTCTGCTATCTCTTTGATGTTAACAGGACGATTTTTAAGCACTGTTTCTTTAACTTTTTCGATGTAATCAGCATTAACAGAAGTGGATGGAAGACTCGCATGAGACAAGTTTTCGACGACTTTACGATATATTCGATGGTAAAATAAACTAATAATCATAAGGTGTTAGAGTTGTATACGACTATACCTTCCATAGTCTTATTGAATAAATAGTAAGCTCAATTCCCATAACAGTTCGCTCTACGATAACCATTATCAATTTAGCTATCTACAAGTGAGACCATCTTTCGTGCGATAAATGATGCATAATCGAGAGAACCCTTTCGATCCCAACGATAAAAGAAGACCCGAGAGTTTTGATGTTCTTGAGAAATTAAAGCTTTTTAGAGGGTAAGATTTTACTTAGATATTTATACATTTATTTTTTAAATACTTTACTATATCAATTCTTATTTATAGTTTGTTTCTGTAAAACTCCCATAAAAATATTTTCTTTAATTAACAGATTCCTCATTTACGTATATGTAACGCATACATACATAAACGTAAAAGCAAACGAAACTCATGTCATGCAAATATTTAATTTACTGTGCTTATTTATATACAATTACTACAAATCAAGCACCGTGGAACCGGGGTCATCGCTTATTTAGTCATGCCTAATAATTAATGTAAGTACAGATACTTATATAAGTATATGTATAGTCGCATATAGAACCCTACACACAACATAAGTATTTATAAATATGTCAGCTGGCGACAAATCTACATACCACTTGCGGGGAGGCTATAAAAATAGCACTTTTTCCACATTTCTCTGCGCATTCACATAACTTCTGGATATATTTTTCCAATCTTTTATGTGTTCTTTTTTTTTGTTGCTTGTGAACTCCACAACATGAGCTGTGATGAACCCGACCAACTTCAATTCGAATATCAACATCACGTCACGCCACACCCTTGACCATACGTTCGGTTGCTTGGCGAATTGGCGTGTTGGCACTTGTTGGAAATTAGCACAAATTGCTCGTCAACAATGACTCGACCGAAATGGTTGTTGAACTCAGCCAGGGAGTAGAAGTTGATGAGTTAAGATTTTGTTGGAGCTTGGGTTAAGAATTGTACATACAATCGTATGGAAGAATTTCATAGCAAGTAGATGCGGGAACCCTGTAGGAAAAACCATTGGAAATGTTTAGGGATAAATTAGATATTCAATTTTATCGCAAATTATTCCTTATGAGTTTAGAAAATATAAAAATGGATACTATCGTAAAAAATAATCCGTATGCTATAACAAAGCTGATATTATTTGAATATATATATATGTTATTTTTATATAGATATATATATGTATTTACCTATAGGGAAAATATATTGCCACGCCAATACGTAGCTTTAGTATTAATATCATTCAGAATGTAAACAACCAACCAAAATCCATTTCTTATCTTTCAGTTTTTCCTAAAGGGTATCTTTTCTCTGGTCACTTCAGTTAGTTTTTCATCTATTGTGATTGTATCGCTGTTGGGTCAATTATGTGGGCCATGCGAATACCTATAACAACAAATACAAAACAAGATACAGAAATAATTTCTATAAATATTTGTATTTATATGCACAGATATATTACATCATATCCATATATGTATATGTACATACATATATAACATATAGAAATTATGTATCTTCCAACACTAGAAAACTACAATATAAGCATATCACAACCAAGTACATTTGTTGTACTTATTTGTGTTGACTTCGAAGAATTCCAAGTAATGACCATTATAGCACTGTGCTATTGTTTACAGCTCAAAAAGGTGTACGAAATTTGTTTGCAAATTCTAAAGTCGTTGGGAGTTTACGGAAGTCGGAGGCAATAACATGACATTTTTTGATTGATAAAATTATGTGCGAATGTAGGCGGTTGCTTCTGGCAGAAAAATAGAGATGATATTCATACGTATGACCAGTTTAAAAGTGGTTAAAAATTGTAACAATTTTCAATAAAATTAATATCTAACGGTATTTTGCTACGAATATTTCCTAAAAGAAATTAGATTAAGTCCAAGACATAAAACTCTTAGAAGGAAATCTCAAAATAGTCAAATCCAACCAGTTGTATGGAAATCTGTATCTAAGAATTATGTAGTCAGTCATTTATATGCGTGCCAGTGTTATATTTCTTTTCTGGATATCTGAAAATATCGACATTAGCCCATAAAAAACCAAACAATAACACTTAAAGTTATGCAGAATTTACAAATAAAGCAATCAAGGTCCCTGAGACAGCCTATTAACGTCATGAAACAATCGCATACAGTCTGAGTTACAAAAGCTCAGCCGATCGATCAAGCGATCGCTCAACTCAACACATTAAAATGCCAACAATGTTAGCGAAAAGCAAATGAAATCACATCTGTTTACATACACACATTTGTATATGCGATAAAGGGAGAATATATAAAAAATATATATAACTAAGTATTGTATATTTATAAGTAAATATATAAATAAAGAACGGCAAAGAAAAATGCTGTGGACATTCACGCGCAAAATTGTTGAGTAATCACTTATTGCCCCATAAGCGAATGGTTAAAAATAATTTCTAGTGAAAATAAAAAGTAAGTAAAGAAAATCGTATGAATTGAATTAATAATCGAGGAACTGGCAACTAAAAACATTTGACAACTCTCAAATATGCAAATATGTATATATTAGAGTGGTTCCAAAAAACCGAAAGCTCTCTAAGTATGAACTCTTAACATACAGTTTCTTATTTTTTTCTTATTATCAGATCGAAAAATTTATGTCTCGCTTCCAACCACTTGAAAAAATATCTCGTTTCATAGATTTTGTATGTAATTGAATGCTTTACAAAATGTTACGGTTTTTTCGTAAACCTAACCGTTAAGAAAATATTAACGGTTAAAATTTGATTATTTTAAGACAAATTGGAGTTTTGGTTTTTGAACTTTATAACTCAATAAAAAAACTTAATTTTAAATTTTCTGCCCTACAAAAATAGTCTGTATAATTTTTCAATTAAGTTAAGCGCTTACGAGATATTCGCCGTCAAACATCAGATCAAAAGAAAAGAGAAAAATTAAAAAAAAAAAACAATTTTTGTAGGGCAGTTAATTTTCTACAATACTTTGAGCTTTGCATTTTAAAACGTTGTTATAAAATTAAAAAGAATAAAATCAAATTCGTCTTAAAGTAGTAAAACTACAACCTTTAATATTATATAATATCTTTCAAATGGCTAGGTTTACGATAAAACTATAAGAGACCATTTCGAATAGGATTTAATTTCCTCCAAAACAAAATATGTTTTTAGGTAGGTGGAAGCGATAGTTCTATCTGATAATAAGAAAAAAATATAAAACCGTTAGGCGGAGGCCCTTCTCGTTACAATTAAGAGCTCATACTTAGAGAGCCTTTCTTATTTTTTTCATTTTTTTTGAACCACCCTAATATGCATACATATATAGTTTTATTTTGACAGGCATGTTTTTGAAAAGTCATTCTGCGAAAGCAAACAACTGCGTAGTAAGTGAGCAGAAGCCTTTAAATAGTGTCAACAAGGGTTAGTTGCAATACTTTTGATAGCCACTGTAACAAATGTATTAATCGCAGCAACAATGTGATAAAAGCGGAATGATTTTCATATTTTGCTAAGCCCTCATGAGCGGCGCCACAATTAATAAATTTGTGTCAAAATATGCAAATTTCATAATGAAATTTTTCATGAATTTGAGGCACTTCGTTTGTGTTGCAAGCAACTTTGTGGGGAGAAACTAAGGATAAAAAATTAATTGATTATGCTTTTATATAAAATTTGTAAACACTTTTATATATTTATATATATTTTGTGTTTATGTGCACTTTGATTAATTATAAACCAAAAAAGCAGCAGCAACACTAGCGAATGATTATATGTACATGTGTATGTAGTCGTCATGCAGGTATAATAGCACAAAAATACTCAATGGATTATTGCTTCTTAGGAACGGCTTAAAATTGTTTCAAATCATTAAGAAAATATATAATATGTAATAAGATATGCTTTATGTATGTACGTTTGTATATAAACAATTTTGACCGAAAGACAGACGAATAGTTATAAATTTGCGCGTCACCTGAATGACATTCATGACCCCTGTAATGATAAAATTATATTAAAGTCCGTCATTCACAATAGTTTCATTTCTGAAATTGATGTTAGAGGGTTGAAGTGTCTTGAAACGAAAAATTCATCTTGAAAGAAGCGCATCTATTAGAGATGCAGGACCTGGCTTCAATCCCTACCAAACAGCGAAAGCTTTTTTCATAATATAGGTTATTTTTCGGTATGCAACAATAATGTAAGGAAAGCGCTTTTCGTTTATTCCAAAAATTCATTAAAGTGGTATAAAGTCGATAGTATTCTCAATTTATCGAATAACATCAAATAGTTTAAACCATTTGTATACAATTTTCTATTAATTTAATTTTCTATTAATTAATATTAATATAAATTTAAATTTAATATTATATTCAAATATATTTAACTCAACATAGAAAGTTTTGAAGACTAAATATTTTTGATTTTGTCAAAACTAAGGCACGCCTTTAAGTTCAAATGAATCACTACTTTTAGCATTTGTCCACATTACTGCAAAGATCAACCTCAGAATATGTTTTCAAGCTTTGCTTATGTGGCACGAAGTTATTAGCTAACCCTGCACTTCATCTTTCTACCTCTGGCAAGCTTAAAAGAGACCTTACAAATATCCATTGGAGTAAAGCTAAGGTATGTGACTCGTCCATTTTTTATTTATCAATAATTCTTATGTATATAAGTATATACTATGTATGTCTATCTCATTATTTGTCTACGCAGCATCTTTGCGGGACCATCTTCTTGGGTCTGTTTTTCCAAAGCAGCGCAGTCTAATTTAATTTATGCCACCGCTCTTGGGCGAACACAAAGCACTCCAGCGTCTCCGCTTTAACTCTTCAACTTCGACTTCAGTCATTGACCAATTAACGAGCACTCGCGCGCGCGCGGTTATTCTGCCCCACCCAGAAAGCGCTTTAACGTCTGGCAGCCATCCAGCCATCTAGCCGCCGCACAGTAGCTTTGATACAGTTGCCGGACAGTAAGAAATGCTGTGGCAAGTTCTCATTTAGCTACATTCTTCCGCTTGCGCTGACGTAGAGTAATCTTTAAGCGTTAATAATGTTTTTTTTTTCCTTCAACCTGCTACTGCGTCTGCCGCACAGGTTTCTTTTTATATATGAGTATCAGCGTATATGTAGTTATTTTTTAATTCTTTCAGCTTTTGCGCTTCTTTGACGGTTATTCTTCTGCTTTATATTATATTTTAGTTTCTCATTGTTGTAGTCATTGTGTTGACTCTCCATCTAATTTCATAGTCTTTTTGTCTGTCTGTTCGTTTAGCGAAGTGTTGCAAAGGCAGTCTGTGCTCTATTCCGTGCCTCCCTCTCTCTTTCTGTTGCCTGTCGGCCGTGTGTCTTTTTTTTGTGCTTTGCTCATTGGCAACTGCAGCTATGTGTCTTTTAACTCGTTTCTTTTGATTGTTTTGCTGCGTCTGGCAACATTCTTTCATCATCTTTTTTCACAGCTTACTCACATTTATTAATCCGCCTTCAATACTCCGTCAGT